GGGGTGCTCGGGGGTGCTCGGGGGTGTCTGGGGGTGCCGCCCCCCCTCACCAGGTACTCGAACACCAGCGTGAGGCAGCTCCGCGTGTGGATGATGTCGTGCAGGGTGACGATGTTGGCGTGCTTGAGGTCCTTGAGCAGGGACACTGCGGTGACAGCGGCAGCCTGGGCTCCACAAGGGGCCCCAAGGGACCATAAGGGTCCCCCTGTGTCCACAAGGGGCCCCAAGGATCCTCTCTTGTCCCCCGGTGTCCCTCTGGATCCTCCCCGTGTCCCCAGGTCCCCCATGTGTCCCCCTTTCCCCTCCATGTCCCCCATGTCCCGCTGTCCCTCCGTGGTCCCCTTTCCCCCCCATGTCCCCGTCCTCCTGTGTCGCCCCTGTGTCCCCCATTTCCCCCCATGTCCCCCCGTGCCCCCATGTCCCTGTGTCCCTCTATGTCCCCGTGCCCCCCGTGCCCCCCGTGTCCCCCCGCGCCCCCGCACCCTCGCGGATGGCGGTGCAGGGCGCCCCCTCCTCGTGCTCCAGCCGGATCTCCTTGAGGGCCACCAGGTTCTCGGTGAGTTTGCTGCGCCCCTTGTACACCGTGGCGTACGTGCCCTGGCGGGGGGACACATTTGGGGTGAAAAACGGCAAAAACGGGCAACGCGGCGCGCCCCCCGCCCAAACGGAAACATCCCGAATCGGGGCTTCTCCCCCAAAACGGGGGGCCCGAGGCAGCCCCAAATACAGGAGCTCAACGGGGAGTTCACACAATTACAGTTCTTATTTTTGAAAACACAGAATTAGGGCAAAATACCGCTGAAATGGTCAAACCGAGGGGCTCCCAGGCACCGTCCCCAGCGGGGAAACCTTCCAAATTTGGGAATTTCCCCCCAAAACAAGGCCCGCCCCCACCTCCAGGGCAGAAATCTTCCAAAAGGGGAGGGAAAAACCCCTAATTTTCAGGCTTCTCTTCTGGGGCAAAATCCCCCCAAAAGGGCCAAGCTCCCAGCGGGGCGCCCCTCCCTGCCCCTGCCGAGGGAAATGCCCCAAACGGGGCGGTTTCCCCCCAAAGCGGCACCCGTTCTGGGGGCAAAGCGGACGGTTTGGGGGCCGGCTCCCACCTCGCCCAGCTTGTCCAGCTTCACGTAGGTCTCCAGCTTCCCGAAGCCGATCTCGGACTGCGGGAAGAGGCAGCAGTGGGGGGGGGTTGGGAAGGGGGGGCCACTGGGATGGACTGGGATGGACTGGGGTGGACTGGGGTGGAGCTGGGAGCAACTGGGAGAACGGGCAGGGCGTCGAGCGCAACCCCGTCCACCCTGCTCTATACTGGTCTATACCAGCCCATGCAGGTCTATACCGGTCTATACTGGTCCATGCTGGTCTACACTGGTCTACACCAGCCCATGCAGGTCTATACTAATCTATACTGGTCTATAGCAGCCCATACACCTCTATACTGGTCCATACTGGTCTACACCAGCCCATACACGTCTATATTGCTCTATACTGTTTTATACCACTCCATGCGGATCCGCACTGGTCTATACTGGTCTATGTGGGTCTATACTGCTCTACACCTGCTCATGAGAGTGCATACTGGTCTATACTGGTCTATACCGCTCTATACAAGCCTATATCCACTATACCAACTCATATTGCTCTACACTGCTCCATGCGCCCCAGTACGACTCCGCGCTGCTCTATACTGCCCCGTACCCCCCATACTGCCCCATAGACCCCCGTACAGCTCCCTACCCCCCCCTATAGCCCCCATACATGCCCTATAGGTACCAGGGAGACGCGGCGCAGGCGGCGGGTGAGCGGCCGCTCGAACAGGGGGCTCTGCAGCGTCAGCCGCTCCAGACACCCCTCGGGCAGCCGGATGTCGGCCGGCAGCGACAGCCGCTTGTTCAGGTCCTGGCGGGGGGCACAGGCTGAGCGGGGCCCCCCCGGAGCAGGAACCCCCCACAACGACACCCCAAACCTCCCTGCCCCGCCCCAGCACCCCAAAA